TTGTGAATGGCCTTCAATTGTAGGTGCAAGACATTTCTGGAGATAGCAGAGCAATTATTTTATACATGACTTTTTTTTTCTCCTGAAACTGCTCTCTCCAAGGGCAGCTAGGTAGTGCAGTAAAAAGAACACTGGATTTGAAAGCAGGAAGACTCGTCTTTGTGAGTTTAAATTTGGCCTCAGATACTTACTAGCTGTGTGACCCTGAGCAAGTCACTTAACCCTGTTTGCCTCAGTTCCTCATCTGTAAAACGAGTTGGAGAAGGAAATGACAAAATATTCTAGCGTCTTTGCTAAGAAAACCTCAAATGGGATCAGAAAGAGTTGGACATGACTGAAACGACTGAATAACAAGAAGCTCTCTCCAAACTTACCAATGATCTCTTAATTGCTCCACACATTGAGAAGACAGGCAATATGATATCGATTACATATGTAAAACCATGCAGAACATATTTTCATATTAGCCATGTTGCACAAAAGCAAGAAAAATAAAGAAAATGGAAAAAATTATACTTCATTTTGCACTCAGAGGTCATAAGCTCTCTCTCTGAAGTGGACAGCATTTTTCACCATGAGTCTTTCAGAACCATTTTGTATCACTGTATTGCTGAGAACAGCTAAGTGTTTCACAGTTGGTTCATCATTATAATATTGCTGTTACAGTGTATAATGTTCTCCTGGTTCTGCTCACTTTACTATGCATCAGTTCAGAAAAGTCTTTCCAGATTTTTCTGAAACCATCATTCTCACCATTTGTTATAACAAAATAGTATTCTACCACAATCACATATTACAGTTTGTTCAGCCATTTACCAATTGATGGGCATCCCCTCATGTCCAATTCTTTGCTACCACACAAAGAGCTGCCACATATATTTTTGTACATACAGGTCATTTTCCTTATTCTTTGATATCTTTGGGATACAGATCTAGCAATGATATTACTGGATTACTCCACAGTTTTATAAACCTTTGGGCACAGTTCTGAATGGTTGGGCAAGTTACCAAGCCCACCAGCAATGAATTAGTGTCCCTATTTTTCCACTTTGCTTACAGTATTTCTCATTTTATTATTTCTCTCAAGTTAGCTAATCTGATAGGTGTGAAGCCATATCTCAGAGGTGTTTAATGCGTATTTTTCTAATCAAAAGTGATTTGGAGTATTTTTTCAAATGACTATAGATAGCTTTGATTTTTTCTTCTGTAAACTTCCTGTTCATATCCTTTGACCATTTTTCAATTGGGGAATGGTCCTTACTTTTATAAATTTGACCTAGTTCCCTATATATTTGAGAAATGAGGCCTTCACCAGAAAAAACTTACTGCTTTCTTTCTAACTCTGGCTGCACTGGTTTTGTGCAAAACCTTTTAAATTTCATGTATTCAGAGTTATCCATTTTACTTCCCATTATTCTCTCTATCTCTTGTTTGGTCAAAAAATATTCCCTTATCCATAGATCTGAGAGATAAACTTTTTTATGCTCCCCACGATATCATCCTTTATGTCTAAATCACTTACCTATTTTGACCTTATCTTTTCCTAGCAATTTTGTCAAATAGTAAGTTCTTGCCCCCAAAGCTTAGATCTTTGGGTTTATCAAAAACTAGATTACTATGGTAATTTATTACTGTGTATTATTTACCTAATCTAGTCCACTGATCCACCATTGTATTTCTTAGCCCATATCAGGATGTTTTCATGATTACTGCTTCGTAATATAATTTGAAATCTGGTCCTGCTAGGCTGCCTTCCTTCATTCTCATTTTTTTTCATTGATTCCCTTGATATTTTTGATCTTTTGTTCTTCCAGATGAATTTTGTTATTAGCTTTTCAAGACCCACAAAATGATTATTTGATAGTTTGATTGGTATGGCACTAAATTAGTAAATTAACTTAAGTGGAATTGTCATTTTTATTATATTGGTTCAGCCTCCTCATGAATAATTACTTTTCCAGTTGTTTAGGATTGTCTTTATTTGTGTGACAAGCGTTTTGTAATTGTATTCGTACAGTTCCTGGGTTTGTCTTGGTGGGTAGACTCCTGAGTATTTTATATTGTCTGCAGTTATTTTAAATGGTGTTTCTCTTCCTTCTGGGTTTTGTTTGTAAGATATAGAAATGTTGATGACTTATATGGGTTTATTTGATATCCTACAACTTTGCTGAAGTTATTGTTTCAACTGGTTTTTTTAGTTGACTCTCTATAAGTACACCATTATATCATCTGCAAAAAGTGAGTTTTGTTTCCCTGTTGCCTATTCTAATTCCTTCAATTTCTTTTTCTTCTCTTATTGCTATAGCTAGCATTTCTAGTAAATATTGAATAATAGTAGTGATAATGAACATACTTGCTTCACTCCTGATCTTTTTGGGAAGGCTTCTGATTTATCCCCATTACAGATAATGCTTGATTTTTATTTTAGATAGACACTACTTATCATTTTAAGAAAAGCTCCATTTACCCTTATGCTTCCTAGTACTTTTTTTAGAAATCAGTGCTGTGTTTTGTCAAAAGTTTTTTTCTGCATCTATTGAGATAATCATATGATTTTTGTTGTTTTTGCTATTGATGTGGTCAATTATGCTGATAATTCTCCTGATACTGAACCAGCCCTGCATTTCTGGTATAAATCCCACCTGGTCATAGTATGTGATCTTTGCGATCTTTGCTGTAATTTCCTTGCTAATATTTTTTTTAAAAATTTTTACATTAATATTCATTAGGGAAATTGGCCTATGATTCTCAGACCTGTTTATGTAACCCTAACCTCTCTCCCAACCTTCAGTCTCCCACCTCCAACAGTCCATTAGACATCTTAAATTGAATTCCCCATAGACAACTTAAACTCAACGTATTCACAACTCAATCCATTCTTTTCCAAAACCCTCTTCTCTTCTAAACTTCCCTATGTGTGGGTGGTATCTTAATGTCACCAACATCAAATCTAGGTGTCATTTTGGATTCCTTACTGTCCCTCAACTGCCATCCAATCTTAACCACCAAGCCAATCCAAGGCTTGTCCATTCTAACTTTGGAACATCTCTTATATATGTCCTCTTTTCTCAACCTCAGTCTAGGTCTTTATCAATTTATATCTAGATTATTGGTGGTCGTGCTGGCACAAGTCTCTTCCCATTTAAATCCATCCTCTACTTAGCTGCCATAATGATCTTCCTAAAGTGCGTATTTGACTATGTCATCTTCCTACTGAAGAAACTCTAGTGATTCCTTGTTACCTTTAAGATAAATATAAGGCCCTCTGTTAGGCTTTTAAAGCCCTTTACAATCTTTTCCTTTGCTACCTTTCCCCTTCCCTGCCCCCAGAGGCAAGAGAGGTGGCAAAGCAGATAGTTACTAGCTATGTAATTCTGGGAAAGTCACTTAAACTCAATCTGCCTCATATTTCTCAACTATAAAATGGGGACAATAATAGCATAAGCCTTTCTGGGTTGTTGCAAGGATCAAATGAGATAATATTTGTAAAGTATTTTTATCCTTACTTCCTCCACGTACTCTATAATACAGTGACACTGGCTCCCTTGCTGTTCCTCACACAAAACACACCGTTTCCTTATTCCATGGCTTTTCACTAACTGTCACCCATTCCTGGAATGCTCTACCTCCTCACTTCTCTGGCTCCCTCAAATTTCTGCCAAAACCCCACCTTCTATAAGAGGCCACTCCTCATCCAATTCAATGCTAGTGCCTTCCTTTTGAGAGGACTTCCAATTTACCCTGTATATAGCTTTTATATACATGGTTGTTGACATGCTGTCTCTACCATTAGAATGTGAATTTTGAAGGTAGGAACTGCTTCTGCCTTTCTTTGCCTGGTACAAAGTAAGGGCTTAATAAATGCTTGGTGACGACTAGACGGAATTATTGTTTTTGTTTGCTAGCACATACAAAGACAATGTGTGGAAGTGGCTGAATGAGTGGATTAAGATGGTGAGAAGTGAAGTACAGGTTTTTATTATGCAGAACAGAATGAGCGTAATGATGCCATACATAGCTTCTGATATGCAAAATGGAACCTATTTGTTTTTTAAGGAATTAATTTTTTCTCATAAAGATTTTCTTTTCAGGATCTGTTTTTTTAAAATAATCTTTTATTTTTCCCCAGTTACATGTAAAGACAATTTTTAACATTTTTTCAAAAAATTGAGTTCCAAATTTTCTCTCTCCCTCCCTCATCTCCTCCCTCCTTGAGACAGTAAGCAATTCACTCATGCAAAATATATTACCATATTAGTCATGTTGTGAAAGAAGACACAGACCCAAAGGGAAAAAAATCATGGGAAAAATACAGAAAGTGAAAAATAGTATGCTTCAATCTGCATTTTATATTCCATCAGTTCTTTCTCTGCAGGTAGATAGCATTTTTCATCATGGGTCATTTGGAATTGTCTTGAATCACTGTGTTGCTGAGAATAGCTAAGTCATGCGTAGTTGATCATATTACAGTATTGCTGTTACTGTGTACAACGTTCTCCTGGTTCTGCTCATTTTGCTTTGCACCAGCTCATATAAGTCTTTGTAGGTTTTTCTGAAATCAGCCTGCTCATCATTTTTTTTTATAGCACAGTAATATTCCATTACAATCATATACCACAACTTGTTCAGCCATTCCCTGATTGATGGGCATCCTCTCAATTTCCAATTCTTTGCTATCACAAAAAGCTGCTACAAATATTTTTGTACAAATAGGTACTTTCCTCCTTTTTTGATTGCTTTGGGATACAGACCTAATACTGATATTGCTTGGTCAAAGGGCATCCACAGTTTATAGCCCTTCGGGCATAGTTCCAAATTATTCTCCAGAATGGTTGGATTAGTTCACAACTCTACCAACAGTGATACTGTTTGTTTTTAACTTTTGTTATGTTAAGGAAAGAAATGTTTTATGCTGCCTTATAACTCCCATTTTGCTATGAGAAATATAAACCCAGAGTTTATAATAGAATAATTGAAGATAGGGATAATAGCAAGTTTACCTGAAATTCCAGTCCATAGTTTTCTCTGCAGAATTCCCTCAGCTTGGGATACACATTTTCTCTTAGAGCTTGTCGTTCTGCTCCTGTATCTGTGGTACAGAAAAAAAAATTTAATAGTATTTTAATCAATTTTATTTCTCTAACATATATGTTGATTTTTAGAAATGATTTTCAGATTTTCAGATATAATAGGTATGTTGATTTTGAAATTAAGAATAAAATAAAAGCAAAGAAATATGAGCTTGTTGCACCAATTCACAAGTATACTTCGTGAAATGTGGAAACCTAAAAAAATTTTGGCTTTCTATAGATATTGAGATATTTACCTTGGAGAAGAGAGATTTAGGGTGAACATGATTTTACTGTCTTCAAAAACTTGAGAAGCTGTAATGTTAAAAAGGGATTAAACTTAATATGCAAGACTCTACATGAAAGAAAGAGAACCTAATGGGCAGAAGTTACTGGGATGAAAATTTTGGCTCAATATAAAGAACTGTCAAGTAGAGCTATTCCAAAATGAGACGGGCTGAGGGCAATTTTGCCATCACTGAAGATGTTCAAGCAGAAGATGAAATTCATGCTTCATGAGTTTATGATAATTCTGTCTTGAACTCTCAGGTCACAAAGTGTCAGAGAGATTTATTCGAGGGCTCCATCTCAGTTCTAATCAGGCACTGGTGATAATCAAAGTTTTATTCATGTCTACTTGAGATCACAAGTATTTTTCAGTGGACATAAGCTTCGATAGGTGGGACTAAGTTACTTTTGGTAGGTGGATGGATAATAAGAATGATGATAATGGGTGTGTCAGTTCTGTGGAGGCTAAATTTTTGAAGATGAACATTTATAGATTTCTCTACTCTTTGTTTCACAGAACAAACAAGATAACCCCCAAACTATCATCCATCCATCCATCTAATACATATATATGTGTATACACATTCACGTATATAAGCCTATATGTATATGTGCATTTGCAGGTGATATAGATGTGTACACACATATAAACATGTTGGTGTATATAAATGTATGTATGTGTGTATATATATATGTGTGTGTGTGTGTGTGTGTGTGTATAGTTATATTTCTCTAGAGTTTTTAATGCAGGATCATAGATTATAGATATAGAACTAGAATGGGCCTTTTAAAATTTCCAGAAAATACTTTGGTTATAGGCATGATATTGAAATACTTCTTTTAATGAAGAAAACCCATTCATTATAACCTAACTTACATAAAACTTAAGAGAAAAAATTAAAATTCCTATGCTGATACTCTATAACATAAACAAATTGAACAGGTCTAGGATCTCATTAATATACATGTTATTGACAACCAATCCATATCTGCCTATGTTGTGTAATCCTTGTCTAGGTCCTCTTATGAAGTAAGTACAGGCATCTATCCAAAGTGCTGAGGGCTCTCCTATCTTTCTGTTCACATCTTAAGGATGCCAGTAAAGAATTTTGTCATGTTAACAGTCCATCTTTTTCAGTCATATATTTTTTAATGACAGCCTTTGCTACATTTGTCTTTAGTTTCTTATGTTTTTATTTCACTGTTCATACACATCAAATGCCTTTTCACTTTTTCAAGTGAAATATTAACTTTTTAAAATCCAAAAAGTACATTTACCTAGCTAAAGCTGCGTATTATTTTTTTACTTTTTTTGCTACCCTATACCTAGCTTCCTCCTCTACCCTGACTCCCATAAAATTGAAAAAAATTGCTCCTGTAACAAATATACATAGAAGAAAAAAAATCCACAATTGTTGTGTCCAAAAATGTATGCCTTGATTCTGCATTTTGAGTCCAACACCTTTCTTTTATAAGGTGGGTAGCATGTTTCACCATAAGATCTTTGACATCATGTTTGATCACTGCTCAGAGTTCTGAAGTCTTTCAAAGATTATTGTTTTAAAATAATGTTATTGTTTAAATTGTTGATTTGCTCCTGCTTACTTTGTTCTTCTTCACTTTACTCACATCCATTTAAACAAATCTTCCCATGTTTTTCTGAAACTGTCCCTTTAATCTTTTCTTGTGGAACAATAATATTTCATCACATTCATATACCACTTTGTTTAACTATTCTCCAATTGATGCATACCACCTTCATTTCCTGTTATTTGCTATAACAGAAAGAGATGCTATAAATATTTTTATACATATGGATTCCTTTTCTCTTTGTTTGACCTTTTAGGTTTTAGTCCTATTAGTGGTATCACTGGGTAAAATGGTACATACACAGTTCAGAGACTTTTGGGCATAGTTCCAAGTTTTCCAGAATGAATGGACCAATTCACAGTTCTACCACCAGTTCATCCATGTCCCTGTCCTGCCACAGCCCCTCCGGTGATTAGCAAACATGACAGAAAGAAAAAATGGTAATCTAGTAGGTGTGATATGTAAGCTGAAAAATGCTTTAAATTGCATTTCCTTATGTGTTAATTATTCCTATTAATAATCCTATGCTAACATAAAGTGATCTTTTGCAACTGAATTCTATTAAACTTTCAGTGCTCTTGAAGCTGAATCAGCTGCAAGCCTGGCTCTGGCCAGTATGCCCAGACTGATAACTGTTTGTGCATCTGGTACCCTTTCAGATAAGCAGAACATCCTCCCTCCATGGTCTGATGTTATTAAATCCTCTTGTTCCCTCTCACTTCCCTTCCCCTACTGCTCCCTGCCACTTCCCCTGACACTCCCATTTGGGAGTGGATTATCCTCCATTCCTCCCATAAGAACTCTGCTTTTTGCTACAGCCCATGAATACCCAAATGTCAGTATTGTGGACTCCTTGGTATAAGGAGTTCCCACATGCATGTGTTTTTCTCTTGTAATAAATCAAGTTACTACCCATGTCTTATAGAGTTGTGACTTTTGGTTAATAATATAAATGTTCATATCATACATAAATCAGAGGAACACAGAATAAAATGGCTTTCACAATTATAGATGAAAAAGAATTCATGACCAAAGGAAAGAGAGGATCACAGAAGATAAATTGTACAATTTTGATCCAGCAAAATTAAAAAGCTTTTGCACAAACAAAACCAATTCGGTTAAAAATAGAGAAACAGGTAATGAGGAAAAACTCTTTGCTGGAAAAGGCTCATATCTAAGATACATAAGGAACAGATTCAAATTCCTAAGAAGAGTCTAAAACAATGATAAAGGGCCAAAAAGGAATTATATTATATATTATTATATGAGAAGATACCCTCTGAACCCTATCATCTTTGGGGATCATAGAAGGAGCCTAATTAGACAGAGGTCCTGGAAATGGTTCTGGTGTGATCCTGATGATCTTCAAAAAGAATGGAAAAAGAAGGGAAGAGGAATACATTAGGTGGGGAAAAGGAGGGAAAATTATCTTAAATAATTGGGGTGCTCAAATAGAAATCTACACAAACAAGGAGGAAGAGATAGGGGAGTAGATAACACAAATCTTGCTCTTTTCTGCACTGGTTGAAGGAGAGAAGAAACAAACTCTAACTATGTCCAAAAATAATTATCATAGCTTTCTTGTGGTGGCAAAGAATTGGAATCTGATGAGGTACTCATCAATTAGAGAACAGCTGAACAAGTTTTGGTATATAAATGAGATGGAATACTTTTGTGCTCTAAGAAATTATGAAGAGGATAGTTTCAGAGTAACCTGGGAAGATGTGTATGAACCACAGAGTGAACAGAACCAGAAGAACAATTTACACTAAGTGTGGCAAACTATGGCCTATAGGTCAAATTCTACTCGCTGCCTGTTTTTGCATGGCAATGAGCTAAGAATATATATGTTACATTTTAAAATAAAGCAGGAAAAAAACATGGGCTACAGTTTATCGACCCCAGATTTATGCAAAAACAACAATACTGTAAAGATAAAACTTTGAAAGACTTAAGCAATCTGATTAATATATTGACTTACCATGATTCCAAAATTCTCATGATGAAACATGCTACCTGCCTCCTGATAAAGAGGTGATGGAATTAAGAATGAAACATTTTTCTTTTGGACATGACCAATGTGAAAATTTGTTTTGCTTAACTATATGTTTTAGCAGGGCTTTTGTTTTTCTTTCTTTCTTCACTGGGAATGGGGAAGAGAGACAGATCAGATTTTTGCTCATTGAAAAAAAATTAATAAAAAAAAGAAAAAGGGATTGCCAAAATGAAAATGAAAAACAGTCCCATCCTTAAGGAGCTTTCATTTTACTGGGAGATAACTATGTAAACAAATAAGTAAATATAAGAAAATATGAGGGGAGGAATACTAATAGCTAGAGAGATTAGTAGTACATAAACTGATTTTCCCCATACATATTGTTAAGGTATTTTACTGCATTAAGAATGTGATAGAAAGTTTATGCTCCCATCTGACTAACATGCTGTGCTATTACTTATATTACAAAATGACTCAGATTTCCTCTATTTGTAGTAATACATGATGATTGGCTTTTCTCATTTCATTGGAAATGAAAAAGTAATTAAGATAGAATGGATTAATTAGAATGGATGGCAGATAAGCTGGTTTAATTAAACAAAAAAACCTGATTCATGCTGACCGAAGATTTGGATGGCTGGTGATTTTAAAAAAATTTGGCACACCATGGACAGGAAAATTTTAACTTGCTGAATACTACACATCAAAAGGGACATCTTTTCTGCTTGAGAGACAGAAAGTGCAGAATAGGCAATAGATTAAAGTCACTGAATAACATTACTTATTTTGTGCCTATGCACAAACACTTCATCTATCTAAATTTACCTTAGGTTCCTAATAAAGTTAAGCATTTTGGACAGCTACTTAAATTTTTTTAAAGATGCTACCCTAATGCTGTTTACTGAAAGAGGAGGTTTCTGAATAGTCCCCTTTTGACCTAGAAGAGGTACCTAGAGTGCTTAACTTACTTTCAGGGAATAGCTTAAACCAGTGGTACCATCTGAGTTAACAGCAATAATTATTTGATTCAATTTGCATTGTCTCTCTTATATACAGGGCATCAAGATATTCACTAGGGAAAATAAAAATAATAAGCAAAAGACATGGTACCTGTCCTAATGGCACTTATAACCTAAAAGGGAATGA